AAAAAAAAACTAGATAAATTTGACTTAATAAAATTAAATCAAATTTATCTACCTTTTTTTTTTCTGCTTTGAGATGCAGTCTTGCTCTGTTACTCAGGCTGGAGTGCAATGGCGTGGTCTCGGCTCACTGCAACCTCTGTCTCCTGGGTTCAAGCGATTCTCCTGCCTCAGCCTTGCGGGTAGCTGGGTTACAGGTACCCGCCACCATGCCTAATTTTTGTATTTTTAATAGAGACAGTTTCACCATGCTGGCCAGGTTGGTCTTGAATTCCTGACCTCAGGTGATCTACCCGCCTTGGCCTCCCAAAGTGCTAGGATTACAGGCGTGAGCCACCGTGCCTGGCAAGAATTTTATTTCTTCGTAGTTAGAGTCACAAGCAAAAATACTGTAAATGTGTAGCTTCTGCAAATACACATTTGTGTATGTGATATGTACTAATGAAGTTTGGCTTTGAAATTTTACATTATGCAAGTACCAGTATTTTTTCTGATGATTGGCTGATAGTTTGCTTCATAGTCTGAGTAGAATAAAAGAATTTGTGGTCCTACAAATCAGTTTGACTAACTCAGGTTCTTACTTATTTTACTCATGTGAGAGAAACCAGATTGCATGTGGTGATTTCTTTTTTTTTTTTTTGAGGTGGAGTCTTGCTGTATTGCCCAGGCTGGAGTGCAGTGGTGTGATCTTGGCTCACTGCAGCCTCCACCTCCCGGGTTCAAGTGATTCTCCTGCCTCAGCCTCCCAAGTAGCTGGGACTATAGGTGCGTGCCACCGCACCCAGTTAATTTTTGAAATATTTTTAGTAGAGATGGGGTTTCACCATGTTGGCCAGGATGGTCTTGCTCTCTTGACCTGGTGATCTGCGTGCCTCAGCTTCCCAAAGTGCTGGGATTACAGGCGTGAGCCACTGTGCCTGGCTGATAGAGACTGTTTTAAGAAAACCTGTTAAGAATGCTAAAAAGAATATTGTGGTGGAAAAATACAGGTGACTAGGTTTATGTTTCATTTCTTTTTTTTTTTTTTTTTTTTGAGATGGAGTCTCACTTTATCGCTAGACTGGAGTGCAGTGGCTCAATCTTGGCTCACTGTAACCTCTGCCTCCTGGGTTCAAGTGATTCTCCTGCCTCAGCCTCCCGAGTAGCTGGGACTACAGGCATGTGCCACCAGGCCCAGCTAATTTTTGTATTTTTAGTAGAGACAGGGTTTCACATCTTGGCCAGGCTGGTCTTGAACTCCTGAGCTTGTGATCTACCTGCCTCAGCTTCCCAAAGTGCTGGGATTACAGGCATGAACCATCATGCCTGGCCAAGATTTATGTTTCTATTTGCACAATATGTATAATTATATAATTTGGTTTAAGTAAAGCAAATGATTTATACAAAGAGGGATAATTTTTTTTTCTCTTTTTCCTCCTTAGGATAGCAGTGAGATTCACTTTAAAGTGAAAATGACAACACATCTCAAGAAACTCAAAGAATCATACTGTCAAAGACAGGTTTGTATATTTTGGTATTATGTACAATGCTTTGTCGTTAATTTTTTTTTATAGAAGGCTGTCAAAAGAAAAATTCTGTTTTATGATTTTCACCATTAGCAACTCAAGGAAACAACTCAAGTTTATCATTTCTTGTACCCTGTTTAATTGCTGCTTTTTTTTTTTTTTTAATCTTGTGGACCATTTTAAAGTTTGTATTCATAAGATATGGAAGTAGTTTGGAAAGTAATTCAGAATTTTAAAAACAGCTCAAATGAATGTTTCTGTCTTGATGGCTTACCAGTATATGTAGCAATAAAGGCAAGTAATTTTTTGGTGATTACTATGAATTTTTTTGTACTTCTAAACATGAGTGTTTAGCCATATGTTAAATTTAAGTAGTATTATTGGTATATTATCCTTATACATAGTAGTACATATTACTTCTAATTGCCTTCTTTTTTTTTTTGAGGCAGAGTCTTACTCTGTTACCCAGGCTGGAGTGCAGTGGCACAGTCGCGGCTCACTGCAACTTCTGCCTCTTGTGCTCAAGGATTCCTCCTACCTCAGCCTTCTAAGCAGTAGCTGGAACTAAAGGCATGTGCCACCATACCCAGCTAATTTTTGTATTTTTAGTAGAGACAGGGTTTTGCCATGTTGCCCAGGCTGCTCTCAAACTCCTGCGCTCACCTCAGCTTCCCAAAATGCTGGGGTTATAGGCGTGAGCCACTGTGCCAGGCCCCATATTTTCGACATGAAGGAATTTTCTCTGTTTAAAGAAAATGTATGTAGAAGTTTAGTTAATACCAAATCATCACAAATTTTGGCCTTCAAGAGCTAGTTTTTATTAGATCAATAATTCCACCAACCTGCCTGGTTCACATTTGGGCTCCACCACTCTCTTGCTATGTGACTTTGGGCAAGTTATTTAACCTCTGTGTGCCTTATTTCTTCATTTAGTAAAATGAGAATTTTGTAGGGCCACATCATGAAGATGACTTGAGATATTCTACATAAACCTCTTAATGTGGTGCCTAAAAATGATCAATACATGTTAAGTATTGTTATTATTCATAAAACAGGTTTTTAAAATAAATGTAACTGGAATTAATATATATGAGACAACCAAGATAAGTGAAATTATGATTTAATAAGCAAGAAATATATGTTTAATCAGTCTATTAAAATTGAATTATATTAACTCAGACATTGTGGATTTTGTTTATAGAAGGTTTGCTTTTAACCATTTAGATTTGTAACTAACAAAAATAACTTATAAGAAAGACTAGTTGTTAGGATAAGTAAAACAATAGCATTTTTGTCTCCTGGTTTTATAGATTTTAATTGTAAAATTTAATAAAATCTCATTAATTGGTTTGAGCTACTTCACATTTGTAATAACTTTGGGTATTAAAATTGAGATGAAATTCATCAGAGGAAAGAAACATTTATTGAAATGTAATTTATCTGTACTGTGCCACAGGTATTTAAGATATATTGTCATTTAATCCTCATAACTCTGAAGAAAATTCATATAGCCTTTACACCCCCCCCATCTATAGGCCAGGGAGTTGATTTTTTTGTTGTTGTTGTTGAGATGGAGTCTCACTTTGTCACTTAGGCTGGAGTGGGGTGGTGCCATCTTGGCTCACTGCAGCCTCTACCTCCTGGACTCAAGTGATTCTCTTGCCTCAGTCTCCTGAGTACTTGGGATTGCAGGCACCTGCCACCAGGCCTGGCTAATTTTCTTATTTATTTATTTATTTACACAGGGTCTTGCTCTGTTGCCCAGGCTGGAATGCAGTGATGTGACTTTGGCTCAGTGCAACCTCTACCCCCCAGGTTTAAGCGATTCTCCAGTTGCAGCCTCCTGAGCAGATCAGATTACAGGCATGCGCCACCCTGCCAGGCTGATTTTTGTATTTTTGGTAGAAATGAGGTTTCACCATGTTGGCCAGGCTGGTCTCGAACTCCTGATTTCAAGTGATCTGCCTGCCTAGGCCTCCCAAAGTGCTGGGATTACAGGCTGAACCACTGTACCCATTCCATAATTTTGTATTTTTAGTAGAGACGGGGTTTCATTATGTTGGCCAGACTGGTCTCGAACTCCTGACCTCAAGTGAGCTATCTCTGCTCCGTCACCTAGGCTGGAGTGCAGTGGCACGATCTCAGATCATGGCAGTTTCTGCCTCCTGGGTTCAAGTGATTCTTCTGTCTCAGCCTCCTGAGTAGCTGGGATTACAGATGTACATCACCATGCTAGCTAATTTTTGTATTTTTAGTAGAGATGGTGTGTTGGTCAGGCTGGTCTTGAATTCCTGACCTCGTGATCCTCCTGCCTTGGACTCCCTGAGTGCTGGGATTACGCCACAGCACCTGGCCTATACTAATACCTTTGGTAATATTTATGGTACTATCTATGCCATCCAAATTTATGGTAGATTAGCTAGCCATTGTGCTTCACTAAATTTTATGATTTAATCTATTTAAAACCAATTTTGCCAGTGTAGTTGGAAGCTAGTAAGGATGCTCATTTAGTTTCTGATTTTATCTTTTATGCTAGCTTAACAGATTTAGGGCAAAACGAATCTAGTAGTGGTCAAGAGCACAGGCTTAGAAACAGATTTGGGCTTCAATTCTTGGCTAGCTCCAAGCCTTAGGCTCCCTAGCTGTAAAGTGAAGATAAAGTGATAATACCTACCTTCCAGTGTTGTTGTGCTTAACTCTTATCATTATATATGTAAAGTAATTGGTACAGGGAGAGCCTTGCAAATAGTTGCTACTCTGTATATGGTATTTATGATTGAGTTAGCTATCTAGTTATATTTTCTGTGTAGTTCTAAGGCTTTCATGCTTGCCTTTTGTGCATCAGAGTTACCATAATGTTTTCTAAGATTTGTGTGTGTATGTATATATTATTATTATTTTTACCTTTTTTAGGGCGTTCCAATGAATTCACTCAGGTTTCTCTTTGAGGGTCAGAGAATTGCTGATAATCATACTCCAAAAGAAGTGAGTATACATTTTTCCTGTGTCACGAAAAAATTTAAATTCTCCTTTGAGCAGTTTGGTTCACTGGTATTAAACTGCCCTTTTCTTAAATATTCTCTGATTTAAATGGCCTATCATTTGTTGGAGAGAAGAAATAATGTTTTGGGTTGAACTTCTCTATGGTGTCTTCAAAAGTGCCAATAAAAAGAGAGGTAGAAACATAATGAATACTGAAATTGTCATAGGGCACATGCTACATCTCTTTTGAAGATGGACAAATGTTCCTAAAATTTGTCAAATTTCTGGTATACGTTAATGGATTTTGATTTTTGAACCATTTTGAGAATGTTAATACAGAAGCATAGTGTATATAAATATATTTGGCTCCGTCATCTTGTTTTATCCTTTTTTTAATGCTTCTGTGTCTTCATTTAATGTTTTTATTGTATGAGTGGTTTTCTTTGCTTTTATATTCCACCCATCTCCCCTCCATAGAGATACCTCAAAGTAGAGAGAGAAAGAGAGAGAGAGAGAGAGAGAGAGAGAGAGAGTGTGTGTGTGTGTGTGTGTGTGTGTGTGTGTGTGTGTGTGTGTATGTGTATCTATGTACATAGATTCCCTTCTTCATACCCAAAGTAATATTACTGATATTTCAGATAGTGGGAACAATATAGGGTTATTAATTTTTTATTTTGAAAACATTTCAAACTTACTGAATTGTGAGAACAGAATAATAATCTCCTATATACCTATTCCTTAGACCAGTTAAAATTGTATAGCATTTGGGCCAGGCATGGTGGCTCACCCCTGTAATCCTAGCACTTGGGGAGGCCACAGTGGGTGGATCACCTGAGTCTTGGAGTTTGAGACCAGCCTGGGCAACATGATGAAACCCTGTCTCTACTAAAGATAAAAAAAAAAAAATTAACTAGGCTTGGTGGTGTATTCCTGTAGTCCCAGCTACTTGGGGGCTGAGGTGGAAGGATCACTTGAGCTCAGGAGGTCGATGCTGCAGTGAACCCTGATTGTGTCACTGTGCTGCAGTGTAGGCGACAGAGTGAGACCCTGTCTCCAAATAAATAAATAAATAAAATAAGATAAAATTGTGCGGCATTTGATAGCTGGGCATGGTGGTACATGCCTGTGGTCCTAGCTACTTGGTAGGCTGAAGTGGGAGGATCACATGAGTGAGCCCAAGAATTCAAGACCAGCCTGGACAATAGAGTGAGTCTCCTGTCTCAAAAAAAACAAACAAAAACAAAATACAAATAAGATAGTGTGCAGCATTTGTTTTTATTACTTTCTTTATAGACATTATTATTATTATTGCTAACCATTTGAGATTAAGGTGCAGATAGCATGACCTTTTACTGCTGAATATTTTAGTGTGTTATTGCCTAAGAGCCACAGTTCAGTTGTCAAATGTGAGAGATCTAACATGGCTACATTCTTCTTATTTTTTCCTTTTTTTTGAGATGGAGTCTCACTCTGTCACCCAGGCTGGAGTGCAGTGGCACGATCTTGGCTTACTGCAACCTCTGCTTCCCGGGTTCAAGCAATTCTCCTGCTTCGGCCTCTTGAGTAACTGGGGTTACATATGCATGCCACCATACCTGGCTAATTTTTTTGTATTTTTAGTAGAGATGGGGTTTCACCGTGTTGGCCAGGCTGGTCTCAAACTCCTGACCTTTGATCCTCCTGCCTTGGCCTCCCAAAGTGTTGGGATTACAGGCATGAGCCACTGTGCCTGGCATTTTTTTTTTCCTTTTTTTTTTTTTTTT